CCCCTCACTGTTTCTCTTCTCCTTTACTTTGTTTAGGATAAATTTTGTGAGTTTCACTCTAAAGGAAGATCGTTGGTGAAGAATCACAATCATGGCCCATAAAGTGTCTTCTCTTTTCATAAAGAGGCTATGAAAAGCCAACCCAGCTCTTCATTTTGAGTGTGTTTGTCTTCAAATCTGAGCAGATTTGTATTTTATCTTAGGCTTTCTCTTATTTATGAAAACAAGTAAAAATAGCTAAAATTCTTTTCACAATTTTTTTCCTCTGTTCAGTTAGTGTAAAGTAGTTCCCAGCCTTGAAACAGATTTTCTGTATGAAAAATATAAACGAGATTTTAAAAATTAATCTTTTGAAGCACGGTGCTATAAATGTTATTTAGGTTTCTAGGCTAGACTACAAAAGCTTATTTAAATCCATCACGATGCTCAACTTGAATTCTGGATCCTGGGTACAAGAACCCACTAAGAAGAAAGAGGGGGGTAATGTATCCCTTCCTGATCATTCAGACAATGTTGGTTCCTCTCTGCTTCTCTTTACCCCTCTTCCTTGAAGCTGCTACCCTGTGTTGCCTTCCCTGCCCCACTCCCAAGGTCTCAAGGTTATCGGGGAGGGGGAGGACAGAGAGAGAGTGTTTGCTAACGCCAGCTAATTAATTAACAGGTATCTGTGAATAGTGATGCTTCTTAACCCTGCCAGAATATTTTCCCTTTTTAAAGATGGTGTGTGTTACGCCACATAAACCTAAAATTGGTGAAACTTCTGAGAGTGTAGCAAAGTGGGGGGGAAAAATCAGTGTGACAAGGTTTTGATAGGTAAGGTGGGCGAAGGCCACCACTGAAGCAGTCTGGCCCTGCATCCTTGTGCTCAGTCATTTGCAGAATGTGTGATTGCTTTTGCCAGCTTCTTGGACTCCCGATTAAAAGCCAGGCTCTCTGAGCTGCAGGTTGTTTGGTCTGGGTCTGTTTACTGGGCATGTGGGCAGTGGTGGCCAGGTGGGTTAGGAGCCTGGCAGGGCACGTGTAGTTCGTTTTTTAAATGAGTGGAATCCCTGCGTTCTTTTTCACATAAGTGTTTTTTACCCCGTACAAAAGGAATGCATGTCTGTTAAAGACTAAGGATAAAGAGGTTGCCCAAAGTGCTACCATCCAAACAAAATTTCATTGTGAAGATGTCGATATTTCTTCCAATCTAGTTAATAAAGTTGGCATTTTTATTTTGTTCTCTGAGACGCTTTTTTCTTTCTGCTGAAGATTATGATTATCTGTTTTGAGGAAAGGATATTTAATGATGATTTGCGATTAGCTCTGTGAAAGAAAAGTGAGAACGCGATGTGTAATTCCCACCTCTCCTTCCTCATTTTTAAGTATTGAATTGCATATTCTAAGCAATAAATGTGTTTTAAAATTCTTAAGTCTCAAATTAGTGCCCTTAAATGCTTCTGTCCCTCGTGGTCAGCTCTCTCTCCTCGACAGGGACCACACCAGACCCCCTGTTTCTGGCTAAGCCCCTGGCTGGCCCAGCAGCCTGGCTCTGTGCCTTGGAACTTCTTCCAGGAGCTTCACCTTTGGCCATTCTCTTGGTTCCATCCCAAAGCATCTCAACATGTTTAGGACTTATACCTTTAAAGAACAAACACCTGGCCAGCACAGGTCTCTGTCCAGGTGCCCCCTAGTCCCTCACCCCTCCTTTGCAGGAAGACTCTCTGAACCCTGTGGTCGGCACCTCCCTCCTCCAGCCTTGCCTGCCAGTCCCTTCCCAGCCCACTGAGTCCTGCTTCTGCGACCACTCAGCCGAAGCCACTCCCACCAGGGTCACCAGAGGCCTCCGGGTGGATAAACCTATATGTTCCCCCTCAGGCTTCATGTACTTGACCCTCTGACACCCTCCTTGACTGGCTTCTTTCTCTCCCCTTTGCTTCTGAAACTCCAGAACCTCCTAGATTTCTGCCAGTTGCCGCCTGCTGCTTATCAGGCTTCTTGCTGGCCCCTCTCCCTCGCTCGTCATGCATGTTTCGGTTCCCCCACTTCCATCCTCTGCCATCGTCTTGCCATCTCGTCTTTCCTCTCTCTCACCACACAGCCTTGCAAATCTCGTCCACTCCCATGGCTTTATCTGCCACTTACACACATACAGCAGTGACCCAAATCTCTGCCTCCTTGACTCCGCTACCGTACTGCGTGCTGGACGTGTCCACTTAGACACCCCACAGACATCTGAAAATCCACAGCCCACGCAGACCCCTTCTCCCCTCTGGCCTGCCCCCCGTCCTGTGCTTATCAGTTCAGTGCACGAGTCATGGCGGTCTGGCGAGTCTGCTGCTAACGAGCCCTCCAGTCACTCCTGGAGCTTCAGCCCCACTGCTCTAACGCACACTCAGGTCACCCTGCTCACTTGCCTGCACTTCCACACTCGTCTACGCCCCTTGCCACAGACAGAGAAATCTGATTGAGTCATTCCTGTGTTCATGCTTTCAGCGCCTCCTCTGCTGCCTGTGTGCCCGGGCTCCTGGTTGTCTCTGCAGCCCCTCTCTTTTCAGCCCCCATCCCTTTGTCCGTTTGCCCTCTCTCTGGAAGCACTTCAGCCCCCTCTCCTTGCCTGGCTAACTCCTTCTCATCCATCATGTCTCTGTTCAAACTTATTTCTTCAGGAAGCCCTCTCTGACCTGCTGGTCCAAGCGCTCGTGGTCTCATGTGTGTACCATGCCAGTAACACTCCCGCGTGGCGTTGTGATGGCCTGTCCTTACCCATCTCCCCACCTAGACTGTGCACCAGGACATCAGCCCTTTCGCTGCAGTGGCCAGCACAGCAGTCATGAATGGAGCGATGGACACAGGGCTACTGCCCTGCTGGCTTCTGGTGGCGTGGGAACCAGTGAAGAGTGCCAGCTCTGCAGCTTGCGGGGCTCTTCAAGGAGCGTGACCCTGGGGTTGTTACGTGGGACGTGAAAAGCTTGAAATAAGCAGGTCTACTAGGAACTTTTTTGCAAATGTAGTTCCAAAGAAAATGATTTCTCTCCGTATGGGCTTTTAAAAGCATTTATTATAGAATATTTGGGGGGAAGTAAACCATAGAGAACCACTCATAAAAGCTCGTTGCTGCATAAGTGTTTTAACCATGTTAAAATGACTTCCTGTTTTAACTAATACTGTCTAATGAATACCAACGTTTTTTCAATTCAAGAGAGCTTTATGAACATTTCCTATGGAAACTATGAGCACCGAGGTCTGTGGCAGCCTTGCCCAGTCACCCAGCAGCCAGTCCTGGTTCCCAAAGAAGAGTTGACACATCTTACAGGTCCCCTGTAAGGGAAGTGCTTGACAGGGTCTCCTTTCTCAATAATTCCTCCTGAGACTCCAGAGAAGAGAAAATGGGGACAGATTTGCTAAGAGAGATGGGATGGGGCCAGTGACCGGGTCACGGTGGGGCTCTGGCAACTTGAGGACACACAGTTTCTGAAAAATACGGATTTCTTTCCATTCACTAATTTGTTTATTTCTTGTCTAACAATTCTACTGCAGAGGTTAAGTCTTATATAAAGTTATATCTCAGTGCTCCAGTGGAATGAAATAATGACAGTATAGCTCTTTCTAAATTATTCATTTGTTCTTTGTTGATTATCTCCAGGTTCCTGTTAATTCAGTTCACTTAGTTCAGAATTATAACACATGATGTCATCTGTTTTCTCTTCTTGTTTTCACACTGTAGACACCTAATCAGTATCTTCCAGTGCCTGACTGCCCATCCCTGGTCCGCTCCAGATCTCCTGCTAATACCAGGCAGTGCCTGGCCTTCCCTGGGGTTCTGCCGGTTTTCAAGTTTTTGTATTGAATTATTGCTTGTTCCGGCACGATGTTGATTTCCTTCACTATTTCATGCTTCTCCCAGGAGATGTCCACATGTTATTTATCCTTTAGCCCCCTTTTGAAAATATCACAGTAAGGAATTCACTTATTTTTTTTCAGCTGTCTTCCTTTTCTGTCAATAATTCAATGCAACATTTCTTACAGCCTGTTCCATCTCCTTCACTGATTTTCTTAATGCCTTTTAATTATTTCCTACCTTTAAAATGTATTATCCAGCCTTTAATTTTTAGTAATTCATGCTGTCATCAAAGAGGCAACTTTAAGGATCATTCAGCTTCCTGTGGGTCTTGATCCTGGGTCACAGGATGGAGGCAGAATTAGAGAAGCATCGAGTCGAGGCTGTGCATCTGAGGAGCAGGCTTACCAGGGGAAGCAGTCCTGTTGGCTTATTTCTGCAGAGAAAGAAGCATAATTATAAACCTCATATTATTATGTTAGAAAACCTCTGTATGGTGTTGGTGTAGAAGGGAAATAAAATAGCCAGGTTCTAAGTTTCCCATGTTATAAAGGATACGTTTTACATAATATAAAGGATACACTCTCCATTTCTGTATACATTTCTGCCTCACAATATGTGGAGTCCGCAACACAAGGTAGCACATTACAGTCGATCAACTCATCAATATTTATTGATTGTCATTTCATGAAAGAAACTGCACCAGACACTACTGGGGATGCAGAGGATACAAGGCACCAAAAGGCACATGCACGTTCCACGTAACTCAGCCTGAAGTACAGCACAGGGGAGGATGTTGTTACACAAAGAGCAACGTTTGGCTCTGCACACGTTGCACACTAAATACATTGGGGATTAAGACACGCATTAAAGAAAGCATTTGGTGGGAGACTTCTCAGAATAAACTTTATTTTTCACTGAGAGTAGCATATGGTATCATTTTAAGGGAATAACTGATTTTAAAAGAATAAAGCAAAGTAAGTTCATAATTCTTGAATGGGCCACAGTGGGATGGATTAAATATAACTCATGGACCTGGTTGATCTGTGATACATCCCAGGCCAGTAATTAGAAGTGACCCAGGATTAACGAGAAGGATCACGGTGTTGAGGTGCTAATTTGTCTCCTCGCCCACATGGTCTAATGTGTCCCTGTAACGTGTGCTCTTTCTTGTTTTCAGCATGCACTCCTGGCTTTGAAGTTCATCCTTGCATTTGCCATACCTGATAAGCCGCGGCACATCCAGATGAAACTGGCCAGATTGGAATTTGAGTCTTTGGAGGCACTCAAGCAGCAGGTAAGGGCAACTGTCCTGAAAATAAAAATGGATTTCTTTAGCAAATGCCAGGAAACATAAGTCAGAGAACTCACTCTCAGCTTTTACTTCAGCCTTGAAGTTACCAGTTTAAGTAAGTATAGAAGATTCCAGTTTTTTAATTTTTACTTATTTATCTTATTTTTGGCTGCGTTGGGTCTTCGTTGCTGTACGCGGGCTTTCTCTAATTGCGGCGAGCGGGGCCTACTCTTCGTTGCAGTGCGCGGGCTTCTCATTGCGGTGGCTTCTCTTGTTGTGGAGCACAGGTTCTAGACGCGCATGCTTCAGTAGTTGTGGCACATGGGCTCAGCAGTTGCGGCTCATGGGCTCTAGAGCACAGGCTTAGTAGTTGTGGCTCACAGGCTTAGTTGCTCCGCAGCATGTGGGATCTTCCCACACCAGGGCTCGGACCTGTGTCCCCTGCATTGGCAGGCGGATTCTTAACCACTGTGCCACCAGGGAAGTCCCTCAGTTGTGTTTATTTTTTTTAATTTTTATTTCATATTGGAGTATAGTTGATTTACAATGTTGTTTGTTTTAGGTGTACAGCAACCTGATTCAGTTACACATATCCATATATCTATTCTTTTTCAGATTCTTTTCCCATTTAGGTTATTACAGAGTATTGAGCAGAGTTCTCTGTGCTATACAGTAGGTCCTTGTTGGTTATGTATTTTAAATATAGTAGTGTGTATATGTCAATCCCCAAACTCCCAATTTATCCCTCCCCCTACCTTTCCCCTTTGGTAACCATAAATTTGTTTTCTAAATCTGTGAGTCTGTTTCTGTTTTGTAAATAAGTTCATTTGTATCATTTTTTTTTTTTGGATTCTGCATATAAGTGAGATCATATCTTTGTCTTTCTCTGACTTACTTGACTTAGTATGATAATCTCCAGGTCCATGCATGTTGCTGCAAATGGCATTATTTAATTCTTTTAATTGCTGAGTGATATTCCATTGTATATATGGACCACATCTTCTTTATCCATTCATCTTTCAATGGACATTTTGGTTGTTTCCATGTTTTGGCTATTGTAAATAGTGCTGCTATGAACACAGGGGTGTGTGTATCTTTTTTAAAAATTAATTAATTAATTAATTTTTGGCTGCATTAGGTCTTTGTTGCTGCGCGTGGGCTTTCTTTAGTTGTGGCGAGCGGGTGCTACTCTTCGTTGTGGTGCACAGGCTTCTCGTTGCGGTGGCTGCTCTTGTTGTGGAGCACGGGCTCTAGGCGCGCGGGCTCAGTAGTTGTGGCACACAGGCTTAGTTGCTCTGCAGCATGTGGGATCTTCCCGGACCAGGGCTTGAACCCGTGCCCCCTGCATTGGCAGGCGGATTCTTAACCACTGCGCCACCAGGGAAGCCCCTGTTTATAGGCTTTTTGCTGATGGCCATTCTGACCGGTATGAGGTGATATCTCGTTGTAGTTTTGATTTGCATTTCTCTAATAATTAGCGATGTTGAGCATCTTTTCATGTGTTTCTTGGCCATCTGTATGTCTTCTTTGGAGAAATGTCTATTTAGGTCGTCTGCCCAGTTTTTGATTGGGTTGTTTGTCTTTTTAGAGACGATTCCAGTTTAGGATGGCATAACAAAACCAAATTCCTAGTAATATGAGCAACAAATAGGTTTAAAGAACTAAACTAAGCAAAACAAAAATATTCAAGCAATGTTAAATGAAGACTAGAGCTGGCATTCAGCAAAAGAACCAGACAGAGATTTCCAAGAATCTCCCTGGGGCAGGTCCACAGTTCCCAAGTCTACCTTCTACAGAAACATTAGGGGAGGAGAAGTGAGGAGTTGGAATCCTGAATAATATCTCACAGAGCACGAGAGAGAACGGGAGAGTGTGGGCAGAAGCAGCAAAAAATGCCGTGGAGGTAGAATCCTCTTCCTGATGATTTACACATTCTACCAAAGGGTCCCCCCCACCCCTGCCCCCAAAAGAAAGAGAGAATTTAAAAAGCCATGCTGGAGTTCACCATTTTGGTGATTTTCTACCTGTAACAGAACGAGAGTCGGGAGACAAAAGATCCCTAGATGCCCAGAGCTGGTCATCTGCTGTCATACATAGGAAGTTAACGAATGAGAAAATCCGTAAGGCAGAGTCATCTGAGGGGACAAGCTCTGGGTCCAGGACCTCTCTGACCCACGCAGTCCTGTATGCTTCCAAACCACCTTTTACAGGAATTTTTCCTTTTATATTCGGGGAATTGGGAGAAAAAAAAACCTTGAAGAGGACCCACCCAAGCCAACCTTCTGATAGAAGCCCGGGCTCCAAGGGTGGTGCTCCAGATAGGGGAACCCCACATCGGGGCAGAACCTGACCCTGATTAGGCGGGGTGAGCCCAGCAGAATAAGACTTGTGATCAGAGTACAGAGAAGAGGGAGAACCCCGGGTCCACCGTGTTGGCTGTTCTGATGTTTGTCACAGTGGGTGAGGAGACTGAATTAGCTGTTTCCTAACTGTAGGGCCTGTGGGCTCTGGGCCTGTGGGCTCACCAGTGTGTTTGTCTCTTAGATGGAAACGCAGCATCATGCTCAGTAGTGAAACACCAGCAACATTCACAGCAGTGTCAGGAGACCCATTATCACTACTGACGTTTAGCATGGTTCTGGAGGCGTAATCAATGTAGTTACACAAGAGGAAGAGATAAGTTCAAGGAACCCGGAAGAGGCAACGTTATCATTACTTGAAGATTATAAGATTATGTGTCTAAAAGTCACAAGATAAATTCTTACAACAACAGGAAAATTTGAAAAGAAGCAGGTTGTAAAGTTTGTCTAAAATCATCTGTTTCCTTTCAAAAAAATAGTAACCAGTTTGAGAATATTATTGAGAGAAAAGTCCCATTTACAGAAGAAACCAAAATAAAATCTGTAGGTGGTAATTTATGAAAACTATGTGGATAATCAATGTGAAGAATATTTTTTAAACTCTACTGGGATCAAAAGATTCAATCTTGTGAAAATGTAATGCCAAGTCAAATATATAGAAATAAACATTTGAGAATAGCAAGGAAACTTCTGAAAAAGAAGGAAAATGAGGCCTCTAGCTCTGCCGTATTAAAGTGTATTTTGAATAATTCAATCGTCATGGTAATTAAGTCCATTTTGAATGAGGGGAGAAATGGACAGGTCAGTGGAACAGATCAGAGATTCCATAAATGGACCCAAATAAAAATAGGACTTTATGGGAAAAGTGACATTTTATGTCAGTAGGAAAAAAGAAAGATTGTTTGTTACATGGTTTGATGATGACAAACAGTTGTTTGGGAAAATTATTACACTTGATTCGACCTCATTTCTTATGTACCTCTCTCCCCTCCACCCAGCAAAGTTCAGATGGTTGAGAAATTTAAACGTAAAAAACTTAAACCATAAAAGGTCTATTAAAAAGCATGGGTACTTCTTCCAGTGGGAAATGCCTTTCTAATCAGGACACAAATCCCCGAATTTATAAAGGAAAATATTGATACAGTAAGATACAAGAAAATTTTAAACTTCTGTACCACAGAAAAAAAAAATTGAAAAGATAAATTGGACAAACTGGGGAAATAATGTGCTCAGCTCTCACTTGGAGGAGAGGGCAGAGAGGTAGGATGGACGGGGAGGTTCCAAACAGTATAACGTTCCTTAGACTCTGCGAGGAACACAGAGTGTTATGAGGGCCTCAATGTTGAGATTCTCAGCTTAGATGAGTCCTCTTTCCTGAACGTAACCGCCTGAGCGCGCTTGGGCGTCCTGCTGGTCCCTCCTGGCTGTCCATGGCCACACCTCCTCACCTCTCACAAGGATCCTTCTTCCACATTGCAGAAGGAAGCCACACCTCTCACCATTTGGAACCCTACCATGTGCCTTGTCCCCAGAGTTACCCCCCCAACCAAGTAACAGAACCTTTCAAAATGGAGGTGTCGGGCTAAGCTGCATTTGATAAAGGCACCCCAGTCTCCTGCCCTCCATCCCCTTAAGAAATGCATTTCCAAAATATAGCTAGAAATTTATGTTCAATGTTTATCAAAATGTGTACTCTGTTTATATAATTATTATCATTTATGCACCAGTAATAATTGTAATGATCAGTCAGTCCAGAAGAAGATTTTAAATACCTATCGTGACACTTCTGGTCATAGGGAATTTTAAAGGCTTCTTAAGTTTCAATTTTGAGCATCTAATGATTGCAGCAAAGTATTAGAAAGAGATTGATGAAGACTTTCAAGCAAAACAAAAATTTATTAAGTTAAGATTCTTTGGGAGAAGTGGAAAGAAAATATTACTTCAAAGAAGAAAAAGAAGGAAAACCAAAATTTTTACTATTAATTCAGAGCGTGTTCATGTATCTTTTGAATGGGTGATGGTGGATATCACGTCACTATAATGTTCAGCATTTCTTGGGTATCTTTAAAAGAGTGACCTCATAGTTTATTTTTAAGTGTCAATATTTACAGTATGCTAGAAAATATATTTTTGCAACTATTTAATTTATGATGAAAATTTTAGATGTCAACTTAAAATCGTGTGGGAGGGCACTTGGCATCCAGAAATTTTAAGGGTTACGTAAGCAAAAAAAATTTTTTTTAATTGAACAGCACTGTCTCTGGAAGAGTTTTGGTAAATCAGGTTTCTCCACTGATTACATTTCTAGTGAGGTTTTAGAGATTGGGGCAGGCTGGCCACGTACACACCTTCGCTCCAGGTCAAGGCAAGGTCTTGCTTCATGTTAGGAAAGCTTTCCTCTCCTCTCACTCAGGATTTCACCCTGCCATGTATTTGTCTAAAAAGCAAAGGGTCTTTCTCGATGTTGGATATGACTAACGTGTCTCTTGTTACTAAACACGTTTACCTGAAAGTCCTACTTCAGAGCTGTCATGTTTGCTTTGGAGGGACTGGTGGATATTAGTGTTTACTATGGATGTCACTAAATAACCTCCCAAGTCATCTCAGCTCCTAGGTTCCCGTATCTTCAGATACACCCCACCT